TTGATATATATATATATAAATATATATCGGTATTTCCCGATCTATACCAGCTGTCAGTGACGGCTAGAGCTGCAAATGCCGATCTGCTCTCATTGTCAGACACCCGATTCCTGCTTGAGGCATCCACTAATGAACGGTAACCGCGGATTCTCAGCGGTTACCAGCATTACAGAGCCCCAAATAGCTCATCACGTACAGTGTGCATGAGCAGTCATTTGGGCACTTCGTGGCGGGACGTACAGTGTACGTCACGAAGGGGTTAAATATTGTGCTGACCTTCACAAGACACTCACGCCAAACACTCTAATGGAAGCACAGAATTACCTTTTGGCTTTCTGCGTCCCGCCCCTGTGCATTATGCTTCTAGTTCCTGCTATTATTTCAATATTAGTTACTGAAGTGGAATCTATTCAGGCTGCCATTGCAGAAACATTCCATTGAAATCCAGAAGGTACAGAACCTGGGAGCAGTCAACTAATAGGCTTTGTTGGAAAGGATAGCACAGAGGTAGACATGAGTAACACATTACACTTACCTCCCACTATCCTTTCCAAAGTTAATTCCTGGTGCTTTTAATTTATCCAACTCTGGCCCCCATCCCATCATGCTGAGTGTATAAGATGCACCGTAAGAAAGATAGGTTATAAAAATTGTTGAATGTGGTAATAAAAGTGCCCTTAATGGAAAGTAATTAACTCTTTCCAAGATAAACTTAACGCAACCAGACTAAAGAAGACCTATTTCTGACCTCATGCCATTGGTGACTATATTTTGCACCTTGCTCACGGCTTTGTTGAATGATCTAGCAGTTTTAGTGCAGCAGATTGTTTGTTCTGTTCTGATGTATTGGCCAAGCATATGTTAATACCCACACCTGACTATGGCCATTTTGGACAATCAATTCTTAGCCTGGGATCAAGTGGCAGGAGATATCTGAAGAGGTCTTGGTTTGCCAGTAGACAGTCATTTCCTAAATCAACAGTAACTGACCCATTTAGGTTATGATGATCTTCTCTCTGTGGGGATTTTACTACTGTTTTGTTCAGGTACATCTATGCTACTCCTCTACCCTGCTGTAATATGAAGTGATTTTCTGTCTATATTCAGCTGTATCTTCCAGATTTATCTAGGCCAGGCCTTCTTAAACTTTCTCCACTCGTGGCCCCTTTTTGGCCGAGGAAATTTTTAAGGGACCCACTAAGGAAGGTACCAAGTGCACAGGGGGGGGCCGCGACCTTAAAAACTACACTACAAACTATACATTAAACTGAACTAAAACAATCTAGCTTGGAGCCCAGCCGCCTGGCCCCTCACACAAGTACCGGCCATACCCCCCTGATAACGGTCCCGGCCGGGGACTCGGATTGCGACCCCCCCTGTTCACTTGCGGGACCCCATATGGGGTCGCGACCAACACTTTAAGAAGCACTGCTCTAGGCTATGGCAGCAGATGAACTCAGCGTCAGCTTCTGTCAACAAGCTCCACAGCACTGAGGGGACAAGTCCACAATAATGTAACTTGAGTTTGAAATGCCCTAACAGGCAGACTATTTGCCAGTGTAGTCTCATTATATCCTACTGTTTTCAACTTTGTGCAAATTTTAGACAAACACTTGAAGAGACATGGAAGTTTGTGTGTCACACATGGTCTTCCAAAGAAAATATCAAAATAGGAATATGGGAGCTACTATTGCTGACTGTGTATGCTTCAGGGCTGTCAATCTGATCCTAGCTTCCCAACTTAGAGACCTTGAGCCTTGGCAAACTATTGGGTGTCTTGCTATCTGATGTGCATCCTTATTTGTGTTGCATGACTTGCTGCGTATTGAAGAACTGATATGTATGTTTGCCCCATTACATGCACCTTCAGCAATGGCATATGCCATATTTCAGTCCCGATAGGTTTCTTTTTTTCAGTCATAACCCGATTAAGTGTTCATTCATAGAGGAACTAAAATAAATCATTACATCCAATTACAGTTCAGTGTAAGCACATTAGGCTGCTGAAGGCTGATTGGTTGGTACAGGTTGCAGCACTTCATTTGCATTTAAGCTATATTAAAATGGCCTGAGGGGCATTTATCAAAACTGGAGCAGACAAAATCTGGAGCAGCTGTACATGGCAACCAATCAGCATCTACCTTTCATTTTCAAATCTTCACTATCAAATCTATAGGTTGAACTCGATGGACTTGTGTCTTTTTTCAACCTGACTATGTAACTAAGTAACTATGAAGAGAGAAGGGGATTGGTTGCCATGGGCAACTGCTCCAGAATTTGTCTGCTCTAGTTTTGATAAATTTCCTTCCCTGTGTTTAAAAAATATTTTC